AATAACAACATTACCCCCATGCCGCCTTATACTGTTATTCAGCCCGCCCATCGGCGGGCCTGGAATCTCGATAAAGTATCTTGGCCCGCCCATCGGCGGTTTCGGCATGAGGCCTTAGATTTCGACGTGAGATATTTTTAATGTCTAATTTACGACGAAGCAAATATATCTTAATCTGCGAATAAGATAGATTTAAGCACGATTTTAGTACAAGGAAGTCTAAATGAAATATAAAAGCATACATTTTAGGGCTTTTTTGAAGTCAACCTTTTTTATATTTAATTTTTTTCCCACGTCTTACCTCTTTTGCATTAATTTCGACGAATTTTAACGAATATTTCGTTCACAGGTAGGAATTAGGCAGAGGAGATCATAGATAAATGTAGCAAGCTAGAGCTAGGAGGAGATAGTCTCAACTCGATGCACTAAGTCAAACAGCAAACGAACTTTCAAAACGCTTAGCAAAACTCAAGTTGTGAAAATCACGAACGTCAGATGCAAGTGAAAGCCTTTTTCCGTGGACTATTTTTTTTTATAACATGCTACTTACGTTAAATCATAAATCATGCAAGTTGTAAGATTATTGGTGTCCATAACAAAAGGTATCGGCACTGAGTGGCGTAGCTATGTAACCAAGGGCCCCGGGGCAAAAATGAAATAACCCTATTTATACTAAATTAAATACTTTAAAGCTGCAAAATTACTTCATCATCAGCTCTTTGTCGCCCACTGCAGGGCATAATAAAGCAAACCTACATACTACTAAGTAAGTAATTAAATCAGAAACCATCGCAGGAGGGTACCAGCACCTCTGGTATTGGAGAATCCCTGGCTGATCATCCATGCCCAAGCTACCCTACTCTTCCTTAGAGCGGGTGTTCAGGCTGTCTCGCGTATCCTGGGGAAGGGGGGGGGGGGAATTCCGCGTTAGACTGAATACTGCTCGTGGCAAGTAGAACAATAAGATAAAGGTGACCCCTGCCATGCTATCCGTGAATTCCTGCAACATCAGGGGATCAAGGACGGCTAAGCCGACCTTGCTCTTTCTAACCAAGACGCATGACCAGAAGCTCTGTGCATGGGGCTAGAGTTTGCGTAAACGTTAAAGAGGACATCTGTTCTCTACGCCTCGGCATTCTTGAAGGTTAGCGACGACCATCCTCGCGTCTACGGGTGACTCTATAGGTAATGCCGGCAGAGACCAACTCATCGACCACGTCCAAATCGCTGCAGACTCCGTGCTACAACAGATCCCATCTGCAGAGATCGTGCACCTTTCCCTGTTGGACCTTCTGCTGACCTCTCACTGACGGATATGTGATCTTGGTTCATCGGACCATTGTTTCATTGTCTGATCCGTTCTATGGTGCCACTTACACTCCCATCGCGGTTGCGCTCTGCAGATCGCCGCCGTGTTTGGCACTATAAGTTGGCCGATTGGGACAGGATGCGTTCTTTTTTTGCATCCTTCCCTTGAGGACAAGGGCAAGTATACTTCTCGCTGGATGATCCCAACGTGATTCTGTCGCTGATGTGGTACTTGAGGGGATGAAACTCCTTATTCTATCTTCTGTGGTGTCTGGTTTGGCCGCTCCTGTAAAATTGCATCGCGGGATGATAGGAGTGCTTCACGAGCGCTGTTGAAAATAGGTATAATTTCGCCTTCAGTTCAGTACGATATGGTTTACACAGTGCTCGGTGCGCATAACACTACTCTCCCTAGACGAAGTCTCGAGAGACTCGAGTGGGCCTGATGGAGTTCCTCCCATTGTGCTGAAGACGCGTGCATCCTAGTTGGCACCGGTCGTACGTTACAACCGGTGCCTCTCTTTTCTATAACTCTTTCTCTCTAAGCGTAGTCCCGAACTCAAAAAAGACAGCATGTTATTTTTTAGTGCACCAGATCCCTAAAAGATAACCGAAAAGTCGACCGCTCAGACCTACCCAACTTGTTCTCCAAAATAATGAAAACCATTGTGAACTGCCAGCTCATGCAGGATCACCAACTGAAAAGTGACCGCCAGTACCATTTCCGTCGGGGTTGCTTAGCTGGTGATCTTCCGGCTTACCTGACTCATAAATTGGCGGAGGCAGAGAGGGAGACCCTAGCTGTTAGCTTGGACATAGCGAAGTTCGATCGGGTTTGGCACAAAGTGCTTCTTTCGAAGCTCCCTTCCAATGTGCTTCCCAAGAATTTGTGCAACTGGATCAGCAGTTATCTTGCAGGTTGGAGCAACAAAGTCGTAGTAGAAGGTACATGCTCCATTTACAAGCCTATATATATATACTGGTGTTCTACAGGGATTAGGAACACTCGAATTGGGGCGACTAAATCTAACGAGTTTAATGCCCAGAAAAGACATAAGTTTGCGCTTTTACCACTAAAAGGAAACCTTTATCGTAACTCCTCAATTCCAGGGCACTCCCTTTATTACCTCAGCCAGTATCGGAATCTTCGGCGTTGACATATCGAATAACGTGCAGTTTCGTGGTTTCTCGGAAGGAAAGGCTAAATTGACCTCTAAAAAGCTTGGCGTGTTCAGCTGAGCGGGGCAGTATTTTATGCCGGCACACTGCTTGCAACTTTACAAGGAGCAGGTTCGGCTTAACATGGAATACTGTTCTCATCCCTGGGCCAGTACTCCCTAGTACCAGCTCCTTACACTTGGCCGCATCCAGCGCAAAGTGACTGGAATCCTCGACGACCAATGAAGACGAAAGACGGGACGAGGAGATATTGCATCCTTTTGCATTTACTATCTCATTTACCACTAGGAGTGTTCAAAGGAATTATTCGGAATAATTCCAGCCACAAAATTTCATCAACGCATTTCACAAATCTACATCATCGGGATGTTTGACGGTCCACTACTGTCCGACTTACTAGGACTTCCCTTCTTCGCACAACTTCTTGGTGGAATCGTTTACCGCCGGCGATTTTTCATTCTTTCGTTCTTTGCGATTCTTCAAGAAACGAGCTTACTCCTTTTTAAAAAGCCGTCAACGCGCCTACAATTCCCCTGGTGTTGTATTTGTTAATAGGCGTTGGTCGACACTTGATATCAGGTGTGCCGCAAGCTCGTTTGTCCCCCTCTTCTATACAAAAAAGACAATAAAACAAAGTAGACAATTATTATTAACAATGTTATATTTATGTTCTGGAAGTGGGAGTAATCTTTATGATTTCAGTTCGAGCCGTTCGTGGTCAGGAGCCAAAATGTCAAAACTCGAAAATTCTTTATACAACTAGGATAGTACGTAATTTTTCGGAAGTCGTTCTTGGAGGCCGAGGGGCCCCTTTAGCTTGGGGGCCCGGGGCACTGCCCCGCATAGCCCCTGGGTAGCTACGCCACTGTCGGCACTTCTTTTGTTTTCAAAGTGACTATTACGGACCAGATCCTTTTGTTCAGATTTGCATTTTTATCTTGTTTCCTATTTACCGACAGTTTATGATTTTATCTGTATTAAACCACAATCCGAAATAGGTCATTAACCAAAATTAAATCATATATCATAATGAAAAATTGTATATGGTCGGTGACCAAAACAAAGGTGTCGGCACTTTGTCCGTTTTCAAAGTGACGAATACCGATCGGCTCCTTTTATGTAGATTATCATCTGCATTCTCATCTTGCTTCCTAGTTCCGACAGTATAATGCCTTATCTAAAAGGTGTTACAAAAAGCGGGTAATGCTCTTAGGAAGTGATTCTATTGCTCAAAAACAACTTCTTCTATGGGACCTATATCGAAATCTCAAAGAAAAAAAAAATACTTCTCCACACAAACTCGTCTCATCTGATTGGCGGTTTATTATGGGGAAGCCAACTTTATTTAGATATTGATGTAAGTCCCATAGAAGAAGTTGTTGTATTTGAGCAATAAAATCACTCCCTAAAAGGATTACCCACTTTTTTGTACTATGATATGGTTACGATTTTATAGTTTTAATAATAAGGTGCAAGGAACAATAACATTTATATTTTATTATCACTACATGTAAACATACTTTATTTTATAGTTTTTGATTAAAATTTTAACAAAAGGTTCGTTAATTCTGAATACGCGTACGGCATGACAGGACAGAATTGTCCTTTTTTAAATTCTTAGACATCCGCAGGCCGTTTTGGTAACGAATCAATCATAATAAAACGAGCTATCAGACAAAATTTTATAATTTTTTCATGTTATTTGGCATACTTATTAAGGTTCTTTACGCCCATGGGCGGGCAAGGCACTGAACGGGTTAACCTATAAAAATCTACAGATCTGATAACGAAACGAATGCACATTTAGTATAATAATCGTGGTTTAGCAATTATATAACAATAGACCTACCACCCTAACCAAGTAGTATTTTGGCATAAGAATAAAATTTGCAATACCAACAATCAATGCAATCAATCATGGAGTCTAGTTCTGTGGCTGTCCAGTTTCCACCACTGAGCGATTTATTAGTTGCCTGTCTCTCGCACAACTGTGAAATCGTCCACGTATCAAGAAAGGATATTAAAAGCAATGCAATTCCCCTGGTATTGCAGTTGTTACGTTCAGTTACAACTGCAATACCAGGGGATATAGTTACGTTCAGTTACGCTCTGAAGTTGTAAACAGTGACACGGGATGGGCTTTATCATAAAACTACAATCGATATCTATTGCAACCTTGTTTTTTGACAAAAGAACACAGCGATAGTCTTAATAAATCATAAAGCCAAAATTCTCTCGTTTTAAATTCATTTTCACGCGCTCCTCAATTCAAATACCGCAAATTTGTAAAAATAAATATCAAAGGAATTTAAATTTTTTCGTTTTCTGTGTAATTTTTTCTAACGTCTTTTCATTAACGTTTTTACTTAGGTTTAGGCTAATTTTATTCTAGTCGCGGAACAGTAAGATAACAATAGAGCCTTCAAAGCGGAATACCACTTCACTACTAGAAAACTAGAGCTATAAAGATAAAATAAACTATCATTAAATGATATTGAAATAAAACTAGCAATGGTTAAGATAATTTTTAATCGGATTTCCATTAAAATAAACTTATAATTACGCTACATGCAGCAACCCCTATAAAATCGTCTGATAAAAACAATGTTTATAATACTCCCACAAACAAATACTGAAACAAAATAATTAGGGATTGCTGCAAAATTAATCCTAATGGCTAACTTGAGCAACGCTGCTCGTGAACAACATTGCTCAGACTAATGTTTACTTACACAAAATATTCTAAAAATATGACCATCCACATTTATGCCACCGACGTCGTTGTAACACAGATGATATTTTATTGTGATATCGAAGTTGGAATTCTTAACGACAGCATAGATGTGAAAGTCAGTTTAATATAGAAATATTAAAATATAAGAAATTTAAAACATCAAACCGCTTAGACACTAAGTTTAAATTCTAAGAGTAAAGTTAAACAAGCTTATTCAATAACGACATAATTCTAAATAGAACTAATTCGTTAATGTACAGGCATTAAACAAATATATTGAAATATATGGATTATGTGAAGAGGAAAATAATGTGGTACACACTACTGGATAATAATGGTGTATAAATTAAGAATTATGTAACCAATGCGCGATTGCAGTTATAATCCCAATTTAGATGTTTATAATTTGCAAAAGGAGTACTAAAAACTGTTCGATGGCTACTTCATGCAAAGTGTGTACTTACAAACTGTGAATTAAAGTGGAGATCGAAATATTTTAGAAACTGTTTTTATTTTAATTTTATCATTTTGTATTTTTTTTTGTTTTTTTTTTATTAAAATGTATTATAGCGCTCTACCCCGGAGTGGGTGAATTATGATTAATACACGACGACATAAAGTTCGTTAAATATAATTATAGATTAAAATAAAGTTTCTACTACGTCAGTTTTGAATATTAAGATCGTAATTGAAAGCGCTTATGTTCAAAGCTGAAATTGTAGAAAAAAAAATACAATCTATCAACTAAAACGCTTTTTGATTTCTCTAAGATCATGAACAATTTTTAACTCGTTAGTTTTATATAATTCTAAATTTATTCAAGGCTACTACGAAGGTGGTGATGCAAAAGTACTTTCATGAAAACTATTTCTTTGTAATACTTAAAGAAATCAAAAGCAATGGATGACACTACACAATAGAACAATACATACTAAATATCTAAATACTAAAGACTTGTTGACGCATTTCTGAAACCACTATGCAAGCTCAATTCAATATTGGAGATAATATGGCAATATTATTTGTGACCACTTTGAATTACCTTTTCATGGGAATACGAAAAACGACATTCAAGAAATCGAATTGAAAAAAAGAAAGTTGACACGGTCTAATTTCAATTTTTATTAGGTATCTGTCACAAACAAAATGCCGATATTAGAGCCTCTGGCATAATTTTAATTACTACTTTAACACTTTTAAATTTAGTTAGTTTGTTAGTGAAGCACATAATTAATTTCCTTTTATAATCTTGATTGTGTAAACAATTAATAATATGTGATTTGTTAAATATTAAATTAAATGAAGGTTAAATGAAGGAAGTGCCAGAGATAAGTTGATATTTATTGCATATTATAGTGCAAGAAGACGTAATCGGGGTTGTTGATTTCCGGCGGCATTAGTGGCGAAGTGGGCGAGAGCAGTTGGAATCCCATGAACATGAAAGTGCGAAGGAGTGTGGCTCGATCCGGTCGGGACTTCAAAACGCAGATAATGCAGCTGGAAAAAATATTACATTTTATAAGGTAACGTCAATATAATAACATATGTATGTCGGTATCGCATTTCGTTTTATCAGTGTTATATGCGCGACCCAATACACAATGTCAATATCCATTAGAGCAGTGGTTCTTAATCGGTGGTTCGTGGACCACTGGTAGCCCCACTCAAAATGGTCCTCTAAGGTATCTATCATACAATTCTCTCATATATAAAAAAGATCATTTTTCTAGATGATGGTCGGTGTCCATGTCCAGATACTACCGATCTGGTTTTGAATACAATAATGCCGCACATTAAGTTTTCTATGTTTTATTTGTAGATCAAACCTAAAAATCAACCTTACCATAATTTATACTAAGTCTTTTTTTTTTATAGGAGAGGGGGCAAACGAGCATACGGCTCACCTGATGGTAAGTGACAACCGCCGCCCATGAACAACCGCAACATCAGGGAAATTGCAGATGCGTTGCCGGCCTTTTAAAAAGGAGTAGGCTCTTTTCTTGAAGGTCCCTAAGTCGTATCGGTCCGGAAAAATCGCTGGTGGTAAACTATTCCACAAGGAATTTGTGCGAGGAAGAAAACATCTTCTAAATCGCACAGTGGTGGACCGCCAATCATCCAGATGGTGTGGATGGTATCGGGAGTTCTGCCGCGATGTGCGTTCGTGAAATTTGGCGGCTGGGATTAATCCGAACAATTCCTCAGACCACTCCCCATGGTAAATGCGAAAGAAAATGCTAAGAGATGCAACATCTCTTCGCAGTGCCAATGAGTCGAGCCGATCGGAAAGGAATCGGTCGTCGACGATTCGAGCCGCTCTGCGCTGGATGCGGTCAAGTGGAAGAAGTTGGCACTGGGGAGCCCCAGCCCAGAGATGGGAACAGTATTCCATGTGAGGCGGAACCTGCGCCTTGTAAAGTTGCAGGCGTTGAGCCGGCATGAAATACTGTCCCGCTCTGCTGAGCACGCCAAGCTTTTTAGAGGCCAATTTGGCCTTTTCTTCCAAGTGACCACGAAACTGCACGCTACTCGATATGTCGACGCCAAGGATTCCGATACTGGCTGAGGCAACAAGGGGAGTACCTTGAAACTGAGGAGATACGACAAAGGGGTTCTTTTTAGCGGTAAACGCGCAAACTTGTGTCTTCTGAGGATTAAACTGGACTAGATTTAGTCGCCCCCAATCCGAGACTTTGTCCAGCAAAGACTCGACTTCAGACACAAGTTTGTTCCGGTACTCGGTGACGTTTGTCTAAAGTGTTGGTGGTCCATGGCAAGACAAAAAATCAGTTAGTTGGTCTTTCATCACTAAAAAATTAAGAAGCACTGCATTAGTTACCGATGAATAATTATTCAAAATTAACATTGCCATAGACTTTTGACATACAAACAAACAGGTCCAATCCAATTAAAAATTGTTGAGAACGCCTAGTGTTACTCACAACTGATTTTTAACGGAGTTTTTAGCAGACTGTCTGAAGGAGGGGTAATGTTTATCGGATATTGTAGGGCATGGTAGGTTTAGTTGAAGTTTGTTTGTGTCTTTATAACCTGTACAGCATGTGACAATACAGCCCTTAACAGCTTGACAGATTTTTAAAGTGTGAGGTTTCATAAGATTTGCCTTTGGTAAAAAAACAATATGGCGCTTGTGTGAAGCACATTCCGATGAACATGTATTTTATTTTCAATTTTATCACTGCAGTCAGCATTTTTAGTTAATAATTTGCTTGTTGAATACTTACTTGCTGCAACCAAGTCTCTCTTCAGCAAAGTCCAACAGGAGCATGAAGCTCTCCTTGCTTCCAGATTGCAGCACTCCAGGCATGCGCAGATAGATGGTACTGCCATGCAACACCTAAAAACAATTTCAGTTTAGATTTATATTATAAGAATTTATAGTACTTTTTAATCAAAGTTATTATATCAAGAGGATTAACATCAAGAGGAAATAAACCAAATGGTCATTGTTAATCTGCTAATACAATCGCTAGCCTTCCAAATAGTACGGCTATTTGGAAGGCTGGCGATTTCGAAACAAAAGATATTAAAGACATACAGTTTCTATTAATGATCATCTTTGTGCAATGACAACAAATGTACCTGATGGCACAAAGTATTGCTGCTAAGGTTATTATTACGTAATCCATTAATCAGGCATATAATTAAATAATTTTTTTTTTTAACAAAACGACCTATGGTGGTCGGAAAGATGACATGACTTCAGATGCTGGCAGTTTACCATAATTTTTCTGCCAGGTGTAATAAAACTTAAACGGAGATTTAGAGGAGCGTCAAAAATAAGACAACTTGTGGTCACAAATCCGAAGAGGCTAATGTGATAAAGAAATCAGCTCATTAATAATTGAGAAAATTTTATTGCAACAAAAAACAATTTATACATATCAATGTGGCCCTATCCCCTGTAAAAGGTTAACCTGAGTAACAGGAGATAGGTCCTTCCTATATTTAGCAAACTTTTGTTGAATAAAAACACAAAAAAAACATATAGACACGTGTTTCTAATTATAAACCAGCATCGTATTGGTAATGAAATGAGTCATCTAAAATTAGGTCAGATGTGAAATCAGTCAGTGTTCTCGATAACTATGCTTATATGATATTGTTGCAGCACAAGTTGTTTTATCAGTACACATAATGTACCAGTTATTGCTCTGAACACTGTACTAACCGATAACAGGTTATATAAAATAAGAGGTATATAATATTATATAGTGTACATTTTATGTTTTGGCTGTTGTCGAAATATCCTATTTTACGTTATAAAACAGGGACTAAACTTATTTTGATGTAAATCTCGCAGTAACTGCATCCAATCAGGTCAAAATATTTGCATTTATTATATGAAAGTAAATAATTTTTTTTTTATTATATCATGTTATTTATTTATTTTTATATAAAAAAGTTTAAAACAAAAAGTAGCTCAAATATTGCTTAATATGTGAAGATTGTTAAGATTATTAAGACAGAAGAAACTGGGAAATAAAAATTTCTTTTATAAATCCACTTTGCACTCAAAATTTGAATCCTACGTCAGCAGAAGAAACTGGGAAAAAAGCTCAAAGGCGATCCTACGTCAGCAGAAGAAACTGGGAAAAAAGCTCAAAGGCGAACAGATGTCCCAATCTTATACATACAAATAAATATTATGAAAGTTATACAGAAACTTTAATAGGTGGTAGTGGTAGGAGTCTTTTTATGCTTATGAGTCTAGCTGGGTGGTTCCTGACACCAGCTGCAGTCTGAAGGGTATAGAGTTAGTATGATTACAGGATGTGAATGATTCCATTTTAGCCCTCAAACGTAACAATGCATCTGAAGCCTTTTTTGTTTGAACTTGGCTGCTGGTGTTCACAGACTGCAGTAGCCATTTACCATCAGGTGGACTGGACTGTTTGTTCGTTGATTTATTTAAAAAAAAATGCAAACTTACAGCTTCCCAGCGAGTAACGGTGTTTTCCGTAAGGAAAATTTTGAAGTCGATCTTTACTGGTTGCCGATCTTTGCGCTCCAGTATCTTGCTGATAACCTGTAAGGTAATAAACATTACAATATTTACTTTAGATATTTATATTAAATATATATTATGTTCTTATTATAATTTTAGTACAAAATTTTGGAAGATTAAAAATTGTTTTTTTTTAGTTCAAGTAATGTATATATTTGATATAATTTATTATAGTTGCAGAACTAATTTAATACGAGATGTAAACACCCTAGTACTTGAGTATCCTTCCTAACCTACGGGCTGCTGACGGGCTGATGAACCACACCAATATAAAAATAAGCTAAGCATTATTTGTTTACGAGAAACATAAGTGACTGAGAAATTCTACCCCATATTGTTATTATGTTGCCAATTTGCACATAACAGCTACATATTACCTACTTTGAATACATTTTTATTGTAAGTTAAAATATCTTTGACATTTCAGTATACTGATTGTTTCAAATAATTGTATAATGTTAATAATTAAGATATTTCTCTAGCGAATCTTTGTAGATTAAGATCAACTTCTCTTAAGGGAGTTATGTCAAAACACACTAAAGCCCTACAATACTAAAGATTGAGAACGGCATACTTATAACTCCACATGTTGATCAGTTGAGTTATAATTAGATGCATTATCAAAGTATGCTATGTAAGTAGTGCGCTCATTTCAAAAATTGCTTTGTTATCAGTTATGCTGATAAGGGGTCAATTTTTGTTTGACTTATGAGCATTTATGTGCGATGTTTTGGATTTGAATCAATTTTTTAATATTCACATTTTTAATATGGTATACAATTAGTAGGTTATAAGGTAACCGTAAATTAACAATGTTCACATGTTTGGATCAAATTCCTATAATCACTATGGGTGACAAGCACAGGATAATCAATCCATATCATCCCATGGGTATCACAAATAACTACGATGTGAAATGTTTCAATGCTCACTAACATAAAAGGATAATCATAGAAATGAGTAACCGTAATAGCTTAGGTGGCTAGACTACTATGGATATCATGGATATGGAATCTTATACACAGAGAAATTCGGAGATTCGGATTTCACTCAAGAGATTCTGAGCTTCCAACGGCTACTAGATAACTTTAATACTCACCGCTTCACGTCTTTCTGGGTGCAGAGCCGGGTGAGACAGCGACGGTAAGTTCGACTCGGAAGCCAAGCTCTCCGCGCTGCTCGATAACGAGCTCGCGCTGGCCCATAGTAGAGCGCTCAACAAGTCACCTGACGTTACAGACCATTTAAACTCTGCACAAAAATATACACGGATGAGGAACAAACATTTGTAAAGTTAGCACATTTTAAAGTAATTATTTCTTATATTTACATGAACACTACACATTGAATAAAACTATGTTTACGGATTTTATCGCGTTTAATTTACTTATTTTAATTCCCGACGATTCAGGTGCTTTACAGCTACCCATGGTCACGGGGGGACTGAGATGTTTGACGTCCCGATGTCATAGTTAAGCCGGCTACCTTCAGTTTTTAATATTAATTTTTGGTTCGGTCTACACAGAATGAGTTTACATTATCTTAAAGTCTTGCAGTGGTATGCTTGGATTTGGATTTAATTTTGTCAATTATAGGATCCCAAGCAGATGGCAGCACCCATCCATCTTCGCTATTGAAATTAAGATTTTTGTAAATTTCAATAGCCTCGCGTATCAATCCTTGGTAGGAATCGGTGTTCTTTTGCGAGGATTTGTCGTCTATCAAATCTGATGTATGGGCGGGGACGATCTTGAACATGTTCTAATACTGCAGACTTCCCAGAGCGTCGGTGCCTCACGTGAGAAGAAACTCGCAAGCTCTGGGAAGTCTAAACACAGTTTTATTCAATTTTAAAGTAATAACGAACTTGTTAATTTAAACACAATCTAAATAAACGCATATCACTTTAGAGTATACATAAACAAGTTATGCCTAGTATAGGCTTATTACTCTGAAATCAAATTTTATTAAACTAAAATATAAACTTAAAAATATCGTCAAAACTGATAGATATAATTTTTATTTGTTTTAAGCAAAATAAAAGTAAAACGACAATTTATAACGAATAAATTAAAAATAAAAAACTTTCTTTAAGCAGAATTAAAATAAATCTTACGATTGTTGTCGTCGTGAGTGGGGGTGGATGGGGTAGCGGGGCTCGAAGCCCCGCTACTCACCCCTCCGGGCGGTGCCGAGCCGTGAGCAGGGACATCAGGACCACCTGTTATAGATACAGCTTCTTGTAGTTACATAAAGAGATAGAGATATTTGCGAAACTGTTAATTAATACGAATATTTCCCATTTGTAAGGCTACGTGAACCGACTATCTGAATACCATTTTAGCGACGTTAGAGACAGATTTAGTAGTCAATTAGTATACGTTCATGATAAAATAATTAAATTGAAGAAAATTTTATTCAGTAATGGACAAGTATACAGTTAAATAGGTGCACAAATGCGTAATTATAGCTAGTAGCTTTCTATTGCTATTTGACGATTCCGTGGCGTTGCGGTCAGAGTAACTGGCTCACGTAGCGAGCCCTATAAATTGTGGGTTTTCGAGTTTCTTTGTCTTATGATTGTACTCTGTAATTATTGATTTTATGGGAGAGGCCTATTTTCAGCAGTGCATTTTTGATAGGTTGTAATGTCCTGACACCGTATCATAGTAACTCGACTTGAATAAAGCAAACGTTCGATTCCCGCCGCTACAAATGAAATTGTTTATTGCAACTTTGTGTTGGTTTTACCACGTGTTCGACGGATAAGGAAAATGTAGCGAAGATACCTCTGCATGTCTGCGAAATTCAAGTCATTTAGAAGACATGTAGAGTTCGTCAATCGCCTTTACCGGTACCTAGTCGACGAACGTTATGTTTTTTTCGAATACATGTAGATTATAACGAGTACCTCTAAGGGGCCGCCTCCACGAGCGAGGGAATTGCGGCGATATTATCGTCGTGCCACGTATTTCTCTTAGAACGTGCCTTAACAGCGATGCTACGAGTGGCTGAATGTCATCGTATCGCCGCGTGGTCGCCACGAAACGTGGCGCTCTCGCAACGAGTGTGTGGCGAGCGGGCAAAACTATTGCACAACGCTTCGTCGCAGAAACGTGGCGATTCCGTTACGAGTCGCGACGATACGCTGGCGGAATAACCGCTCGTCCGTGGAGACTACCCGACGATAGAAGCGCGGACTCGCCGCGATTCTCTTGCTCGTGAAGACGGCCCCTAAGTTAGCGCGGACACTTGTGATGTAACGCCATAATAATTCGAGCGCAGTAGATATTTTGCGAAACTATGAGAAAGTTGACGCCGTAGTCGAAATCAATAAGGTCATATGTATTATATTAAAATTTTACAATGTAAGCGAGAATTTACATCAGTCAAAGGACAACTTACCACAGAGGCCCGGCGCCCAGGCAGAGCGAAAAACACTCGGCGTCGGAAGCCGACAAAGCCGAGCGCTTGCTGCCGGCCGCGTTCAAAGACGCGCAGTCACCACTGTAACACACAACTACGTGTTAAAATTTACTTAAATGTAAGAATCAAGGTCAAGGTATGAAACTGGCATTGTAGCTTAAACTAAAAGATTCTTTGAAGTGAAACTTCTTTAGAATTTTTCGATTTGAAACTCAATGAAACGAAATAGCGTCACTAAAAGGAGACAAGCATATTCATAATTCATATATAGGATTTAGCCTGAGAGAGAATGAGATAGAACATAGACAATACAGTATACAGTGTTTTTCTGAAGGTTTCACTTCTACCACGTGTGAACTGCACACATGGTTTTTTTAATAGCAGCTAGTCTTTACATCTTAGCCGGCGGAACGCAGAAACGTTTCAGTATATTGTCTTTCATCAAAGTTTTTTATACCAATTTAAAGTGACAAACGAGCACACATTACACCTGATTATAAATGGACACTGATAATAGACAAAGTTATCATCGATTTAGAATTATATTGCAGTCGCATTATGCCCTTGAGAAACAAGACAGAAATGGATCTATTCTTACCACCTATAGCTTTTTAATGACTATTGATAAATAAATAAAATAAAATAAAACAAGAGGAAGACATCGTATGCTGTTCATTACGTTCAACCCTGAAGATTAACACAGAATGGCAAACAATATTGTCTTCGGTTATCATCAACATAATATCACAACCATTAAAGCTACAAGTACTGTAAGTATAATGGTGGTAGATCACTAAAAAATACTATTATAAAAATTTATTTCGGTAGTTCTAAGAATTATCGATATTGATTTATCTTTCCGGGGGTTAATTGACAAACTTAAAGTTGATTACTCAAATTTATTAAAACAAAAATTAACATTCGAGTCAACCAAACCGAAGTAGGTAATTGTGTGAGAACATTTAACGCTACATGTTACATGTTACCATGTAACCTAAATTGCGACGCATTTCAATTCTTATATTCATAAATGCACGTTGCACCGAGCTATGACGAGTACGGGTAATTTCCATTGACACAACGGAACAAAGCAGTGTAATAAAAATTGTAAGCAATGAATACGAGACAGTGTTGACGTGACTTCTTATCATCCATTTATTAATCAAGTCGAGAGGTACGAGTAGTAGTTTGGTATTCTAGTTTTATTAAATCGATAAAATGAATACATGAATTAGGTCTACATTCGTTGTAAAAGGCACCTGAATTATAGTAAAAAGAAAGCTAAAAACGATGGCGATGTAATACATGTTTTTCTTGGTACATATATAGGCACAACGTTTTTGCATTAGTCTCGTTACATTTTAACCAGTAAAGAGCGTAAGATTTTTTTGTTCTAAATCTATAGCAAGAGTATTACTCACTTTTAAAATTTAAATTTTGTTTATATAGTTCATTCCCAATGCATTATAGCCTATAAATCTATTGTTAATTGCTACATAGACAGAGCATAGAGTCAAGACTTCCAAAGTCTGCCCTTTTAATTTTTCTACAGACTTCGAAAAGGAGGAGGTACGCAATTCGACTGTATGTTTTATTTATGTGTGTTACCGCATAACTTTGTTCTACGTGCACCGATCTGACCGATCTCATGTGGTCCCATATAAATTTGATCAAGGTATGACCAATAGTTTTTGAGTTACCCTTAATAATATTTATATTGAAGTCGATTGTAATTTTTTTTTAATTTTAAATTATTTCTATTACATCCATTCACAGGTCCACTACTGAAAGTAGGCCTTCTATGCTATATCCTAGGAATGCAACAATACACGGTCCCGAGCCACCTGCACCTGCATCCATCGTCCTACATGTCTTAGAAGGGACGATGTATTGTGACCCGGTGAAAACCCTGTTAGTATTATTTTAATGTTGACTTTCATAACAAGCAACTATTATGGAAAAAATTTAATATTTAAATATTTTATTTACCAGCAAAAATATACGCTTTATTAAAACTATTTGATATATATTTATGTATATGATAGACATATTTATTTATTCACCATTTCAGCGACAAATCTTATCAAATATTTATCTTTGTCTATATTGACAAATATCGTTCCGTATCAACAGATAAATACAGAAAGGATTTTCACGTAGAAAACATCGCTAAAGTCCATGGTAAGTAACAATAAGATAAGTTATATAAATATGGCGTGTTTGAATTTGGTTTAAAATGTCGTATAACTAGCACATGCAATCATTTAAACAAAGCCACTTTAAATGTCACCTTGTTATTTGTAATCCGAGTGGATTGTCAGTCACTTGGGTTTCGAATCCTTTAAACTTGTGTCCAATCGCTTAGTAAATATGATTGCCATATTTATAAATAGTTTGTTATAAAAAAGACACTATTACCACCTCACACATGGTTCTGTGGTCTCTTCCCATCTAAAATTAACACAGGTCGATAGAGATAGAACTGAGTATTAGATATTTGACGCTTTTTATTTTGTACCGTAGTGGAAAATGAATGCACTAACAACTCGGGTGCGTTTTGGGCGCAAGATAACAAGATGATTTACATAATTTTACTCCAGTAAATTTGTTGATAAAATTAAAACAAAAAGTTAAAGGAAAATCTCTGGCCTTGACTGCATAGTCTTTTGGACACAACTCTTAAGTACTAACGTTATAAAAATTAAAATTAATTATACCCTTCAAGTATAATTAATTTTAATTTTTAAAACTAATCTTCGGAATGTCTAAACCGATTGCGATGAAACTTTATGATCAGAGCAATTCCTGGAGTAAACTAGACTGCCTATATTTATCCGTAAAAGCATGAGAGGGTTTATAAAAACTGATAACATAAATGGTTTTTGATAATCTCATAAATTATAAAATATTATGTGTGTAACAAAATTTTTGGTCTGCAATTTTACACGAATAACGTCCTCACACTATATTCTATTTCATAAAATTTTTGAGGCTAAATAGTTTTTAATATTATTTTTATTTCAACACCATTTCACATCCAAACTAGGAGAGTAAAAGGATAAGGGGGATAACACCTTTCACACGAGAAATTTTCTTGGCCAAAAATCATTACTATTATAGATCTACAGGTTTTTTGTTTAAGTTCTACGGATGAAGGCGCGGGTAACGACCGAGTAAATGCTATTTTTAATATAAATGGAAAAGATATAATGGAGAGATACCAGGTCTGTTCAAAAAGTATTGCGCATTTTGAATTTCCGCGGGCTACGTATATTTGATTTTTGATTTTTTTATAGCCTTATATTGGTACTCATGTCCTTTACTTATGCCGACAAGGTCGGCCATTTTGAATGTTTAGTTAATTCTTGACAGCTTTTTGCTTGCATGTGTTTTGGCTCGTCTTCGAGTTTTGCCTATTCCAAAAAATGGATGAAAGAATCTGTATTAAATTTTGTGTGAAAAACAAAATAAAGTGCGCGGACGCATTCCGAATGTTGACTGTGGCATATGTTGAAGCTACCTTGGACCAAAGCAACGTTTATCGGTGGTACAAAATGTTCTCAGATGGCCTAGAAGATGTGAACGACGAAGTGCCGGACGCCTGAGCACGTGAACAACAGACTATAACATTAACAAAGTGAAAAAAATATTATTGGCCAATCGTCGAATGAGTTAGAGAAGTTGCTGAGGACCTAAACATATCGATTGGCTCGTGCCATTCGATTGTAAGTAATGATTCGGGCATGAGTCGGGTCGCCGCGAAATTCGCGCTAAAATTGATCAATTTCAACCAAAAACAGCATCGCGCATTGCTCAGTAGACGTTAGACTCGGTCCGTGACGACCAAAATGTGCTCCAGAGGGTCATAATTGGTGACGAGTCATGGGTTTATGGTTATGACGTGGAAACCAAAGCTCAATCATCCCAATGGAAGCTGCCGCATGAGCCAAGACCGATAAAAGCGCGCCAAGTTCGGTCGAACGTGAAGGTTTTGCTCAGTTTTCTTCGATTGCAGGGTCGTGGTGCATCATGAGTTCTTGCCACAGGGTAGTACGGTTAATATGGAATATTACCTGCAAGTTATGCGTAATTTGCGCGAAGCAATCCGCCTGAAACGCCCGGATTTGTGGAAGAACAAAAACTGGCTTTTGCCCATTATAACGCCCCTGTTCACACATCGTTGCTTGTGCGCGAATATTTATCCAAAAACTTTTTGTTATTGAGGAGATAAAGATGGCATCGAAGGAGCTAAGAAGATCACGAAATATGATTTTTTGAAGTGCTTCGAGAATTGGAAAAAACGTTGGCACAAGTGCATTATATCCGAGGGGGATTACTTTGAAGGATACAAAATGGATATTCATGAATAGATAAATACTTTTTGAAAAAATACCATGAACTTCTATTCCATCTCATTTAAATTGAAATGAAAAGACCCTTTTCACATGCGCGGTCATGCTATGCAGATCGTGTCATAATATGAAACTCACTTACGTATTCACATATAAATAAATAAATTTGAATTTGAAAGGTTTCAGGTAGGTACTTGACCGTGTGAATGTAAATGGGACTAGATAATAAATCAAAGTTATGTTGTATATTTAAATGCTGATTCATGAGTATAACCTAGCTTCTATTTACTGTCGTTTTTGTATTTGCTAATAATTTTGCACGTATTTCGCGTTTTCATATAACGCTAGCGCGGCCGCAACTCTGGACACTGAAACATAATATTTTTCAATGCTCGTTGAACGCTCCGCCCCGCCCCGCTGCACGCTCTCCATATAGGTATTCGTCTTAAGCTTAGACGTCGGCCTCCCTTCAGTATGAGATATTTCCCATATATGATATACAGAAGTCGGGACATTACTTCTTATTTTGAACATTTTTCCTGACCTTGAGACTGAAAACCTAGCTATCAACGTCGTAAGATTTTTGTTCAGATCTAAAGCGTGGTGCAAAAACTTGAAGTGGTAGAGCAAAGCGGCAACTAAGGGAATACTAATCAGTTAATTCAATTCAGAGAATGATCTAATAAAATAATAGGAAGGAAGGCAAGAAAAGTAGCCATTTTTTTCAAA